TTTTCCTTATGTTTGTCAGCTTTTTGCTTTAGCTCTTGGAGAATTCTGAGTATTAGAGATTTGAATTCCCTATCAGGTAGTTCTAGTGCCTTTTCTTCCACTGGAAAGTCATCTGGTGTTTTATTTTGGACACCTACTGGAAGCATCCTGTCCTGTTTTTGTAAGTGTTTTGATATTGTCTGATGTCTTCAGGGCATTCAGTAGTTATTTTTCTCATTTATTGATTGTAGATTTGTTTGTTTCATCCCCCTCCCCCCCCTTTTTTTTTTTTAATTTGACTGTGTCTGAGCAGGGAGACTGTGTGTTCTTTGTTGTTTGCTCGTATGTGGCCACAATGCTTTTAGCCTCCTTCTCCAAATGGCAGGGTCAGTCACTCAGATATGGTATGGCAGGGCAGGTCTAGCTGAAGAGGAGTTCCTGGGACAGGTTGTTTGTGGCACTTACTACAGCCACCAGGGTCGGTCGGTAATCAGTGCAGGGCAGGTTTCAGTAGGCCATGCCTGTGCTGCTTGGTGGTGTGATGTTAAGTGCACGGTGCAGGTAGGCAGGATGTAGCAGGGAGATTGTTATGTGTGGAGCTAAGATGGATATGGGATAGAGGCAAGAGGAACAGGATCCAAAAACATACAAACAAACAAAAAAGAATGCTAGGGGAGCTTGCCATTGGAGTGGAGAGATGAGAGACAGTTGTTTTGTCTCCCGCTGGAAGCTCCATGAAGCTGCTTTCTAGTATCTCCTGTTTGCTGGTCTCCGATAGGAGTCCAGTATGGTGGATCTGTGCTGCGTTAGCTGGTAGGGCACCTCTGCATGAATCTCTCCTCACTCTCTGTTCCCTGTCAGTTTTCTCACTCGATTTGGTGCTTGGCTGAGTTCTTTATCTCTTCATTTGATGTTTTAGGGTTTCAGGATTGTTGTTCTCTCTGTTCGGCTTAGTTTTTCAGATCTTTGCTGTGGAGGGATGGCATGGTGCTTCTGCCTAGAGCACTATTTTGCCAGAAGTCCAGAAGTAATCTCTTCTGGCTTAAAATTTTCATATTTAGTGAGCATATGTTGGTTTGCCTTCCAAGTATCCATCCCCACTTTCCCGGAGGGAAGACCCATTATCTCATTTGGGAACCATCCCTGTGTCTTGCTCTCAGTCTGAGGAGGGTGATGTTCCCTCTTGACTCCAAGTGTGCTATAGAGCACAG